TTTGCTTAAGAAATGTGAACCATAGTTGCTGTCAATACCTTTGGGCAGTAAGTAAGTACAGTGGTGCCTCGCTTAGCGATCGCTTCGTTGAGCGACGAAATCGCTTAGCGATGGGGTTTTGACCATCGCAAGAGCGATCGCTTAGCGATGGTCCCTGTGGGGGAAAATCGCTTTGTGATGATCGCGGGGAAGTGATCATGGCAAAGCAACCCTTTTTAAACAGCTGATCGGTGGTTTCAAAATGGCCGCCCACTGTGTGTTCTCGCTTTAGAGGCACCGAAAATGGCCGCCCCTATGGAGGATCTTCGCATAAGGTTAGTTTTGAAGCCCATAGGACCACATTAAACACATTTTAATGCGTTTCTATGGGCTTTTAAAAATCGCTTAGTGATTAAATCGCTTAGCAATGTTTTTCCTGGAACGGATTAACGTCGCTAAGTGAGGCACCACTGTATTATCGCTTTAACTAGCATTTTGGCTACTTGTTTCACTGTGTTGGCTTTTGTAGGGTAAGCTTCAAACTTAATGAAGTGAGCCTGTCCACAATTACCAAGAGATGATTTATACCCCAGTGGTGGGGGAAGCTCAGAAAAGTCAATTTGCGAGTGTTGGAAAGGGTTTGTTGCTCATGGTCTGCCTCCCATAGATGGGGGAGGTGTTTATCATCTTGTATTTGTTTTGAGGCAGCTGGGGCAGTGTAGGCTGTTTCAGTATAAAGGCCATTGTCACTTTGTAACGTAGATGTCCCTAAGTCCATTTCCCCATAGATGGCTATGCTGATGCATGTCTTGGACAATGTGGCTTAACAGTGACCAAAGCACAAAAACCTTTCCTCCGGGTACCACCCACCAGCCATCAGGGTTTTTATTTGCTTGATAATCCTTCCCTTGTTAGTCCTCAGCTTCTGTGTAATTTTGTTGTGTCATTGAGAGCTGTCGTGACTCCAGCAAAGGGCAATCATGGAGCATTCTTGTCCTTGCAAAGCCGCATGCTTGACAGCTACATTGGCCAGGTGGTTTCCTTCATATAGGATGGGATCTGGTGCCTTCCTATATCCCTGTATATGCATGATAACTATTGCAGGTGTAAAGTGTCTAGGAGCCGTAGGATCTGGGGCCCATTTGCAATCTTCTGTCCCGATGAGGTGATAAAACCTTGCTCCTTCCATAAAACTACATTACCATGCACGGTGGTGAAAGCATATTTACTATCAGTATACTGTATATACTCACCTTTTTACTTTTGGAGAGTTGAAGAGCCCTGGCCTGTGCTAACCAGTGAGTGAGCAATTTTTCCTCCATAAGGGATTTTTCAGCTGTAACTACTGTACCATGCTGTCCATGTGGCATTTTCTGCCAGTAACTTGGCTGGAGCTATCTACGAGTAAGTCCCAGTCTGCTTCCTTCAGTGGAATGTCTGTAAAGTCCGAGTGTGCTAGTGTAACCTGTTCTAGTAATTCAAGACATTCATGAGTTATGCCATCCGGTTGAGGCAGAGGGGTGGCTAGGTTCAGGGTATTGCATAGTTTGAAATATAAATCTGGACAGTTTAGTAGTGAGATCTCGTACTTTGAGTTCCAGGCAGGTTGAGAACTTACTTTTGCTGCGGTTTAACATTTGTGGGACCCCATGTGGGGTTAAGACCCCCCCCCCGGTTGTGTATTACAATCTTCTGGGCATCTAGCACCAGTAGAACTGTTGCTGCTACACTCTCATACATGCTAGCCAGCCCTTGGCAACCAGATCCAAAACTTTGGAATAGTATTCCACTGGCTGCTGGCAATTTTCCCATTGTTCTGTTAGGATTGCTGAAGCAGTTCCTTTCATTTCATGTACATATAAGTGCTAAGATTTCCTGTGGTTTGGGAGGACAACACCTGTGGTTCCATAAGACAGTGTTTAAAGGCAAGGAATGCTGCCTGCATCTCCTTTGTCCATTTCCAGTAGGAAATGTTTTCTAGTTTTAAAGATTCATATAAGAATTTTACTCTTGTCTCATAATCCAGGCTCCATACTGGCAGAAACCTGTTAGTCCCAAAAAAAGCATAGTTCATTGTGGTTTTTCGGAGTGGACACTTACTGTATGGTTAAGTTTTCTAGTCCCATGTCCTAAGTGGTACCCCAGAAATCGCACTTCCTGTTTGCAAAACTGCTTTTTCTTTGGACAGTTTATAATTTTTCACACCAGTTCTTGCAACAAGTTAAGTGTAGTAAAGATATATTCTTCTTCCACCTCACATGCCACTAAGAAATCATCAATATACAGTATTGCAATAAAGTAGCTGCGGGAAATCTGAATTGCCCGTCTTCCAAATCTGTCCCCAGAGCATAAGAAAATATTATTGGGATATGTTGGAATTCTTGCACAACATAATTTGTGGGGGGAGATGTGTGGATCTGATTATTTAGAGTGGTTGGCTGTTGAAATAGAAGTATGTGAAAAAGGCATCTTTTAGATCCAGAACGGAAAATCGTCTTGCTGAGGGTTTGATTTGTGTTACAGTAGTATGGGGATTAGGAACCTCTGGTTAGGTAAATTCCACAGTTTTGTTTATTTCTCTCAAATCTTGTACCAGATACCACATTGGGATTTCACCTTGAGGAGTGGCTTTTGAAATCCTAAGATCAGGGTATTATAAACATACAAGATGAGAACATAAAACTAAGTGTCCCAGCCACTTGGACATTCTGTCCCACAAACTGCTTGAGGGCAACCTTGACAGTCTGTCTGCAGCCCTGTGATGGGCTGTGACATTTTCATATAAACATCAGAGAGATATTGATTACATGTTTTAAGTGCTTTAGTATTTTGATTACAAAGAGTTAAGGTCTAGTAAGACCATCTATCTGTTGTCTTACATGGAAAATAATGGTAGCTTGCCATTGCAATTTAACTTCCTGTCTGTTGGACCTTTATTTTTATCTTGGCCCTACACCTCCGTAGATCTCCAGCAGGGAGAGGGAGAAGAAATGGCCTTCTGATACTGTTGTGAGAAACTTCTGAAGCGCTTATCTTGTAGGAAAAGAATGTTCAAGGAAGAAGATTTCAGTGAATGGGCTTCTTTATACTAACCCATACTGCAGTAAAGGGAACATAAAGTATTCAATATATATTAAAAGGAAAATCAAGAAAAATAATTTTATATCAGTGTTGAGAGCATAAATTATGAAAACAACTGATTTTAAGTAGCAGAAGTTAGTAAAAAATCCATTCAAATTCATTCTCATACAGTACATAAAAATTTTAAATTACTGATTCAGACTCTTAAAAGAAAAAGACTAGAAATTATATAAAGTATTAAGAATAATAAAGATGAAATACAGAATTGATCCAAAGATACAGTTCAGCAATTTAAGGAATTCTGTGGAAGCTTTATAGGTCAGGCAGTGTTTTGGCCTCCAGGACTTATTTAATCTAATACCACTCCCAACAAATACCTAATGACTTCAAAGAATATCTAAACCAGCTTACATCAGACAAGGAGACAATAGAATCATAGAGTAATGGAGTTGGTGAAGAATCTATAAGGCCATTGAGTCCAACCCTTTGCTCAATGTAGAAATCAAAATCAAAGTATGTCTGACAGATGGCTGTCTAACTTTCTCCTGAATGCCTGAATGCACTCTCCTGAGTGCTAGAGTACTCGCCACCTACTGAGTTAACAGTAGTTAACTGAAAATGTAAAAGGAGAAAAGCTTTAGGAGTGTATGATTTTCAGGGTTTTATAAAAGTAAAGATGTGTTATATGTTAGTCAAACATATTACAGGTTCATGGAAATGAAGCAGATATTTGGACATCTTTCAGATTCAATTGTTGATGTAGTTTCTCACATAAAATTGCAGTATAGTATATAGTATGCTGTATATATTTTGTATACTTCAGTGCAGCCACAAGAGAGTAATCCAGGAAACTCTGTGGAGTGTCATCTATGGGGTTTCCATAGTCCAACATCTTTCTGGTTCCATCTCCTTATGTTCTCCAGGCAGGGTCTCTTTATTTACAGAAACAGATTTCTTCTAAACATCATGGGAGGGTGAAATCTTGGGACTACATTTGTCAACTATCCCTGCTGAAATGTGTGGAAGAGAGTTAATAGGTGTGTATTGGTCATCAAACATAGACGGGGGAATCTCAATGATTCTTTCAAACATAGAAAGTTGGCCTGTCCTCCTTCACTATCTGTCTGTGCTTTGATGCCAAGACTGAACTGATGAAGTGTACTGAGGTGCTTTCATACCCACAGAATAAAGCCACTTACCATTACATGTATAATAACTGATGAACCTACCATCATAATCCAGATTCTGAATATAGGTACTGCTAAAACTTTTAGTGAGACTGTGTAGTTCTTAAAGCAAAACTGCATTTTCACATTGGTGTGGCTATGTGAAGGTGGGCTATGTGAATTTTATAGAAGATATACAAGGTTAAAATCCTGTTGGGAAGAACCTCGTGCATAAAGGGAGTTGTGCTTTCCCCCCTCGTTACCTACCATCTGCTGTGTGATTGAACATATGACTGCTCTCCTAAGCTAAGGAAACTAAGCTTACTTGTCTGATTGCCAGTACCATTTTGGCGCTGATAATGTACATAAAAGATACAGCTTGAGAAGTTAGCAGTTTATTTAATGCCAAACTCCACTCATATTTCCCACCACTTCCATTTCTTCAAAGGGATCATTCTGGTCTTGGGATCCATTGGCAGAAAATAACAGTATTTTTGTTGCAGAAGAATGCAAAAAAAGAGGTGGTGGGATATATAAAAAGGAGAAGGCATCAGTATCTCTAACCACACACAGTTGCTCTTTGATGAATGTCACAACTTTCCTTTATAGAAAATAATCTCAAATAGAAAATAATCTCAGAGCATATGATATGTAACTGTCCAGTAAGGTCTCTAAGACTTGAAATGTCCCTTAAAAATTTAAAGATAATTAAATCAAACAACTATAGTTTCCTGAACCTTTTTACTTCATTGGTATTTGTGTTTTTCTTTTCAGACTATGCGAAGACATAGAAATGAAGTGACTATCGAACTTAGAAAGGCAAGTATATCTTTTTATTTGCTTACCTTGTGTGTGAAGTAGCAACAAAGAGTTCCACCTGAAGAACCTGGGTTTGTCACTTTTTATTTTGCCACCGAAAAAAGAGAGCAGAAAGTAAAGCTTACACTGAAGTTTCAAGGTGTATACATGGCTGTATTTCTAGAGATGCAGTTGTTCATTTCTGTTCCTTTTAAGATAGCTCTATCAAAATGGTGCCATCTCCATTTTAAGCATGTCTGTTATGACCTCTTGATGCTACCCATCATTTTTCTTTTCAGAAAAAACACTGCTTTATCTTTGCATTTACATGTGAAGACCTTTAAACCTATTAATCTTGATGCTGGTGAACAATTATTTCCTGTGTTAGGTTTCTGGAGTGGGACCACTGGGTTCAAATGTTGTTACAGTCCAGGAAATGATGCCCTTTAAAACACTTCTGTTAGTGCATGCCATCAAATCCTGTAGGATTTGATGGCGTGCACTAATAAATCCTGTAAGTGAAGAGTTTACTATTATTTACCTCTGTATTTAATACATTGGATATTCTATTTTGGAGTGCTTTGTATTTTAGGGCTATTTTGTGATCGAGTTGGGATCTTGGCCCTGTTCCACAGCTTCTGTCCTTAAACTGGTCCAATAGAAAAATGTAATTACTGACCAAGAACCTGTACTGTGGACATTTAAAGTAAGGTACAATGGGCCCTCGACTTACGAACGGCCCTAGTTACGAACATTTCGGGTTACGAACCCGATCTCATCGCAAGTAGGACACCCTACTTGCGAATGCAGATCGGGTTACGAACCCAAAAGGCAGGGAGAAAGGGCGGGAAAATTCAGATTTCCTGCCCTTCCTCCCTGCCTTTGAAGCTTTCAAAAGGCTTCCTCCAACATCGGAGGAAGCCTTCTGAAACCTCCAAAGCCAAAAAGGCAGGGAGAAAGGGCGGGAAGTTCGAACTTCCCACACTTTCTCCCTGCCTTTTTGGCTTTGGAAGCAAGCTGGCCGGCCAGGGAGAAATCGGCTCCCTCCTTCCACCCGATGGTGAGTCCCCTTCAGCATCGGGTGAAAGGAGGGAGCTGATTTTGCCCCGGCAGCTGGGAGAAAGAACTTCCCGCTCTTTCTCCCAGCCTTTTTGGCTTCAGAGAGCTCCAAAGCCGCCCATTGCGGCGGCGGGGAACCCCAGGGAGGTCTCTCAGGGCTTGCATGCCACGATGGGAGACCTCTCAGGAGTCCCTGCCGCTGCGATGGCCGGGTGCCTGGCCGCTCACTCCCGGAGGCAGCGGAGCGCCAGGAGGCTAGAGCTGGCTGGGCGCCTCGCCGCTTGCCCCTGGCTGTTCAGAGGCAGCGGAGCACAGGCAGGCTTCGGACTGGTAAGTCCTCTTTTAAAAAAAAAAACTTTTCTGTGTGGGTTTTGGAGGGTGGGTTTGGACTGGGGGGGTTATGTTTCTGTGGGGGGTTTTTGCAGTCCCAACGTGGGACTTGCTCTTTTTATTCTTATTCTTATTTTTTGTTTGTTTGTTTGTTTGAAATGCTGGAACGGATTAATTCCGTTCCCATGCATTTCAATGGGAAATGGTAGGTCGATTTACGACCTTTCTGAGGTACGAACGTCCTTCCAGAACAGATTAAGTTCGTAAGTCGAGGGCCCACTGTATGCCTTAATTAGTGCAACAGAATTCTAGAAAAAAAATTCCCAGACAGACACAGGGAAAACCATGATAGTCTGTTGCAGGTAATGTAAAAAAGTTCTTTATCAATATATATAGGTCAGCAGATTTATTATTTCATAAATCTCTTTTGGATTATAATTCACCAGATTATATGGCTGAAGCAATTTCATTATCTGATAACATACACCAATAGATTTCATTGTATTTGTTCAAGACTGAATCAGGAATATAATTTGCTGTAAGAAATTACTGTGATTTTACGGACACATTATTATGACACATTACTATGATTTTATAGAGACGTACCTACATCAGTTTATACATTCTTAATGAAAGATCTGTACTATTATTTTGTTCTTTTTCCATGTTCTTTCAACAAAGTTGCAAAAGAGAGAGAGATTAAAAATAAAGTGAAGTAATAATAAAATATATAATAAAACATACTAAAATATATAATAAAACATACTAAATCCTAATAGGATTTTAAAGGTACGCAAAATGCTAAATATGTGGTTTTACTAGTGGCACACCCCTAGTGAGTTTCCATGGCCAAGCAGGAATTTTCGTTCCAGTTCTCCTGCGTCCTAGTCTCACACTCTGCCACTACCCCATACTGCCTGTCAGAATTACTGTCTTCTGACATTGGTCTTATTGAACTCTAAATTAAACCTTTGTTTATTTTAATAAGTAAATAAGTGTTTGTGGCTGTTTGAGAGTGGTACAGTATCAAAATGTCATGGGTTATACATGCCTTTGTGACCATGTATTTATGTGGTTTGTAACTGGGGGAAAAACTTTATACAGTAAAGTCTACTCCACAATAAATACATTAATAAGTGATGCTGTTTGTGTATCAAATTTTTTTCAGTCTGAGGGGAAGCAAGTTACTTTTATTTATAGTTAAGATTTAGAAGTTTCAGGCCTTTCTGCTGTAAGCAGCCCCTTATCTCCAAAGAGATTTACGGGGGTGCCGGAGACTGGGATGAGTCCGAAGTCCAGACAAACCTCTGACTGCTGAGCAGAGCCCTTAGGTCTCAGCAAGGTCCTGTCTAACACTTCTTCCTCAAAAGCCAATCTCCTTTATTAAGAAAGCAACACACACAGACAAATCCATGAGTTATACTCAGAATAATCTGGCTCTAAATCTTTGGTAGCAAACACACATGGCCAATTAGACATTCAGCTAGTCTGTACAAGAACCAATGCATGCAGATCAAATCATTACTGCTTTATTGAAAAGAATTGCTTTAGAAAAGGTTTCAGTTGATGGTAAAATAGTTCAGTAGGTACATTTTCATATCAAGACAAACGGAACACTCCCCTCCCCACTCCAGCTATAAAAATAAAGAAATGGAATTATGCTAACTAATAAAAAGCATAACACAGTCCATCTCACGTGTCTTGGGTCTTCACAGGCTGACGCTAGATGAAATCCAGTTGACTTCCATCAGTCCATGGTAGGAAAAATAGTCCATAGCAAAGTTATAATCCATTATGGGGAAAAGCACGTGTCTGACCTTTCTCAGTCCAACTCCATCTTTTTCCAACTTCTTACCAACTTACTTCTTCTTCCCAGAATTCTTCATAAGGAACACCCCCTCCTGGGTCTTGTTGTCCCACCTAACTTTCTCATGAGAGCTTGAGAGTTGTTATCATGTTTTGTGGCAGAATTATTTTGACTACGAAAGTCTCTGCTCTCTACCCATCTTAGCAACGAGATAACCATAGAGCGAAGCTTCTCTGAAACAGCATGAAAAACTTTCCTACTACAGAGCAGACTTTAAATCAAGATGGATGCTGTCAAGACAATATTAAATGACTACAAAACCCATTCTAGCATCTCATAAAAACACAAATCATCACATCTGCAAACAGCATTAATTTATGTGTAAAATTCTAAATGTCTCCTTGTAAAGACTAGTTAAAATTCATGAATGTATGGGGGAAACTACATGTGGTTATTAAGAGCTGTTGGCTGATGTATAAGGTGAACCATATCACTGGATGTTTCATTATCTGAACAGTGCACAACTTATACCAACAACTCTGAAATTCTGTGAGGAGGTGGTAGCTTTTATGTTATGTTGCTAAAACCCTAATTAGATTTGTATTAGGAAAAAATGTTTGTTTTCTAGCATTCTTGAAATGTTTAGATATCTATCACAGAAAATGGCAGATCAGCAGTGAGCATATTTTATTTTAAGATCAATCAGGGCAGAATGTTGCAATTTGACTTCCGTTTTAATATTTGCATTTATGTTTTCTGTGCCCACTGCAACTCAAAGGGAAGAAGTGCCAATCAGATTGAGAGCTAAAGTTGAGAAAATTAAAACATGAAATTTGATGATAAGGAAGAGATCTACTGTACAGTCTAATTCAACAGTCTGTGATGGGATATTGTCTGGATTTCTCCAACTCTTACTATCTCAATTCCTTTCAGAACAAAAGAGATGAGCATCTTTTGAAAAAAAGAAATGTGCCCCAAGAAGAAAATCTAGATGATTCAGATGTTGATGCTGACTTCAAAGCAGTAAGCTCCCTAATTATAAACCTTTCTCTTACTAAAAATATTTGATTTCTCTTGTTTGAATTTTATATTCAATCAAACAATGATATTTGTAGGAAAAAGCTCAGTAAGCTGATTAGAAGATAACATCTATTCAAACTACATCTTTATTTTGCTCAGAAAAGCTGCTTATAACAAGAATTATAACTAATTTTTTTTCTATTTAGCAAAATGTAACACTAGAAGCTATATTGCAGGTAAGTTGCTGAACAAAGAACCTTTTTATTCATTGTGTTTATTTGAATGATTGATTTTTTAAAAAAAAAACCCAACTCTTATCTTGCTGCAGAATGCTACAAGTGATAACCCTATTATCCAATTAAGCGCTGTCCAGGCAGCAAGGTAGGCATCTATTCACATTTCCTCTAAAAGATTGAAGTGCTATTAATGCTTTCTGTAAATAGTTTTTGTTTCATTCCTTAACTACATATTTATTTTACAGAAAGTTATTATCAAGTGACAGAAATCCTCCTATTGATGACCTAATAAAATCTGGAATTTTACCAATATTGGTAAAATGTCTAGAAAGGGATGACAAGTAAGTAATTGTTCATTTTCCTTATTTATTTTTAAAGACATCCTTCCAAATAATTTGTGAGCTGTATGTAGTAAGTTTGCATTTTAAATGTAATTAATGTAATATCTTATTTATCCAAATACTGCAAAAATGTTGTTAAATGATTTGCTTTAGAATACATTAGAAACCAATGGATTACAGGAATTTTCTTAAGGTACAGTCAAAGTAATATTATTAGAAGACCCTGCACAAGATGTGCCCTCCAAGCTAGATATAACTTTCAACTGATACATTGGTCCAAATCCTCCTGCCTAGTTATGATGGCATAAGGCAAATGACATAATTTTGAGAGGTAAATTGTCTCGTCCAGAAATCACTGTAGATAATGTCTATTATGTACTGAGTTGTGTGATAATGTCCGAACTGATGTTTGCAATGATTTCTTCACATGGGGTAATTTGCCTCCATTTGCACAGCCATGCACGATTTTGGCCATTGTGGTTCACCCAGAACAATAATTCACATATCTATTATTTCTGCTCATGTTTAGAGAACATTTTCCACTACAAAGAACATATTACTAGGAATTGTAATCTCCTTTTGGAAGGACACAATTTCTTTCTTATTAAAAAAAATGTTTCCTAACTGATGGGGTAAACTTTTAAGTATTGCCTGGCTGGGATGAGCTAAGGTGGACACTAGTAATGGAAAAAACTAAATCTACTTTCCCATAAGGTGAAAGAAATCTTGTATGGCTCTTGTTTACCCTTGCACTTGTTTACCTCTACACTTAGATGCAAAGCCCACAAAACTAGATTCTTTTTGGTTATAAATTAATTTCATTCCTAACACTGCAGCCAGGGATAGGGACACTATTCATCCTCTGCCAGAGCCTCTTTCTATAATCTTTCTATAAAAGGATGAGAAATATGAAAACATAAAAATTGACAAAAGAAACATACTGTATCCCCAAATAAAATTTCTTGTGGGGGATTAGAGCAGGAAAAATAGAACATTAGCAACAGTTTGAAAAAGAAAAGAATTCTAGAGTTAAAAAAATTCAAAGCATAAACAGCTGCCCATCTTGACTAAAGTGAGTGATTCGGGTAGTGATTCGGGTAGATCTAGGTGGGAGGAGGCGTTCTGTCAGATATTGAGGTCCTAAACCATTTGGGGCTTTGTATGTCATCATTAGTACTTTGAAATCAATGTGGAAATGAACGGGCAGCCAATGCAGGTTAGCCAGAGTAGGGGAGATATGTTGGTGTTTTCTCAGCCTAGTAAGAAGTCTGGTCACCAAGTTCTGCACCATTTGAAGCTTCCGCATCAATCTCAAAGGTAGCTCCACATAGAGCGCATTACAGTAGTCTAATCTTGAGACTAGAAGCACATGGACCAGAGTGGCAAGGGCTCCCACATCAAGATAGAAACGCAGCTGGGCAATCCGCCGAAGATGGAAATAGGCGGTATGGATCACTGATGCTACCTGTTGGTCCAGATATACACCCAAACTGTGAACCTCACTCTTTGAGGTAAGAGTCACCTCCCCCCCCCCAAAAAAAGAGAGCGATTTTCCCAAACCACTGATGTCTGGGCCACGCACCCTTGGGACTTCCATCTTGTCCGCATTCACCCACAGAACATTCACCTGCATCCACCCCAGTACAGCCTCCAGACAGCGCTGAAGGGACGAAAGGGCATCCACTGTTGATGGAGAAAAGGAGATGTAGAACTGGGTGTCTTCAGCGTACTGATGACACGAAGCCCCACAACCCCAGCGGCCTTATGTAGATATTAAACAGCATTGGGGAGATAATCAAGCCCTGCTGGACCCCACAATTAAGATTCCACGTAGCCAATACACTCTCCCCAAGCTGTATTCTCTGGGGAGAGTCCTCCAAGAAGGATCGGAGCTAAGCTAGCACTAGATTGATTCCCAGCTTGGAGAGCCCTCCGAGGAGGATACCGTAGTCAATGATATCAAAGGTGGCTGAGATATCGAAAAGGACCAACAGAGACATTTTGCCCCTGCTTCCTCCCTCAGCAGGTCATCAAACAGTGCGACCAGTGCCATTTCTGTACCGTAGTGCAGCCTGAAGCCCGACTTAAATGGATCCAGGGCATTGGTTTCATTCAAAAGGGCCTCAAACTGGTTAGCCACCACCCTCTCTACCACTTTGCTGAGGAAAGAAACATTGGCGATGGGCCTATAATTGTCCGCCACCAAACTTGGTTTCTTGCTAATGGGCCTAATGAGTGTCTCTCCCAGAGAGACCCATTAAATATTGTAGTGGCCCATTCGGTTGTTATAGGCCTGGCTGCTTTGATTAGCCAGGTCAGGCAAGGGTCAAGGGAGGAGGTGGTGGCAAATTGGCATTTTAAAAATGCTGCAAATTGGTCAGGTGAAATACTAGTAGGAGGCCAATCACTTAGACCAATTCCGGATGGATCACAGACTATATGGAAAAGTTCCGCCTGCTGATTTGAAAATTTGCTTATCTGGACAGCGAAGTAAGCTCGACTGGCAGCCCTCACCCTGGTAAGGTAAAGGCTAGTTGCGATCCTGACAGGTTTATGATTATAATCCATCAGGTTGCATCTCCACTTGCACTCTAGCCTTCTACTTTGCTTCATAGTTTGCAGCTGTTGGTTAAACAGGGTGCTGAAGGAGCTCTGCAATGGATAGGGTGTTTAGGAGCGATTGTATCAAAAGTCCTGGTAGCGGCAGCAAGCCAGCCATCAACCAGAGCCTCGACAGGAGCACCAGTAAGATCAGCCAGAATCCCTCTAATGGAGTCCTGGAATCCTATAGGATCCAGTAATCTTCGAGGGTAGACCATCAAAATAGGTCCTTGCTCCCTGCGGAGAGGGAGAACCACTGAGAGGTTGCATTTAATTAGGCAGTGATCCGACCATGATGAGGGGACCTACACAAGGTCGGTCACCATCAGACCACACTCACTTCACTCGGGAGAGAACACCAGGTCTAACGTGTGACCGCACATGTGGGTGGGCCATTACCATGTTGAGACATGTCCAAGGAAGCCATGGTTTCCAAGAACTCAAGAGCCAGACCTCTGCCTCCGCATGAATATTGCAGATGTTACAGTGTTGTCCAGCTGTAGTTGATTGAGACACTTAGAGGTCTTGATTTTCTTGATTAATAGTGCCAGACCCTTTGGAAGTACATTGTCAAAGAGCAGTGCTTGAACAGGATGTCCTGGGCTGAGAAAAAACAATCCCAGTATTTGAAAAATGTGAAAAATCTGAGCCAAGCCTGCACTGAAAGCTTTGCTGAATTAATTAACCACTGTCTGCTGGTGAATTGACCAGATGTGTCTGTAGTGAAAAAAGACACCCAGGCACTTGAACTCTCTAACCTGCTAGATAGTATTACCGTTGAAAGACCAGAAGAAGGGCTTCCATGATTTGCCAAAAACTATTATTATAGATTTGTCGAAATTCAGTTGGAGCTTGTTACGTAACAAGTACTCATAGCAACCACTAACTAGGTGCCGTAGGCCGACCCTTGTGCTGGACAGGAGAACCATGTCATCTGCATATAATAAGACTGGATCCTGTAGGGGTCCTAGTATAGAGCTGTGGCCATTAATCCTGTATAGGAGTGGAGCAAGATCATTGATGAATAGGTTAAACAAAGTTGGTGGCAGGACGCAGCCTTGCTTCACTCATCTGTTAGAGAAAATCTGACTGGAGAGAGCCCCCTGCATTGAGATTTTTATACGACAGGTAGAGCCCACATGAAGTTTTTGGATCAGAAAGAGAAGCCTCCTATCAATATCCAGCCTAGAGAGCTTTAGCCACAGGATATCTCAGAGTCAAAGGCTCCTTTTAGATCTAAGAAGGCTTTAAAGAGGCAGGTGCTGCTCTGCGAAGCATATTTGGAAATTAGATGTGAAAGGATCGTGTAATGATGTAACACACCATTGAGCCCTAACAATGTCATCTGGGTGTCCCCTGGCATATATACTTTTTAACATTTTACTGTATCTTACTCTTGTACTGTATGCCAATAAAGGTACTGAAACTTAGAGGTGAATTTTTCATGTAAACAGTTCATGTTCTGATATATCCTATTCAAGTCTCTTTTTGTAATTGCTTTTTTCTACAGTAGCCACTTTGAGATCCATAAGAGACTATCCTGGGAGGTTGAAGTATTCTGAAACGGGTTTCTCTGTTGCTTGATGGCACAATTTTGCCCGTTCATTCTTTTGTGCAGATTTCCTATGTAGAAGCCAGAGGGGAAACGCCAGCAGAAAATAGTATAAATCACATTAGAGGAGGAGCATACTGTATAAATCAACCCCTAAAGTGCCCTTGGTGTTGCAACCAGTGTAGAGATGGGGCACAATTGACTTCTAGGTTCTAGGGCCTGTTCCTGTCTCCATTGCCGTATTGAGTTGTCTTTTGTGTGTCCGTAATTGTTTTAGATCAGGGGTTGTTTGTAGGCAAGTAAAGGACTGTCCCATAGAGCCTGGGAAGGGGAAGTACAGTACTGTTCAGAACAGTTTGCTGATCATTAATGAGACATCTCTATGGTCACATTTGGAAGCTTTAGGGCTTTGAGTCTCTGTCCTGTGGTTCTGAGAAAATCTGGTTGCATCTGAGAGCCTGCTAAAAACAGTAGACTAAGTGGTGTGTTATAGGTGCATGCTGGATGGTTGGTAGGTTTCCACTATAATGTAGTGTTGAGCAACTGCATTACGGTATGCAGAAAGTGCACTTAGAGTGATCCAGACTTAAGTTGGTGAGAGGACAGAAGTAAGTAGGCAGAGATGATGGGGCACTCGGAAGGATGCCGATTCTGGGATTTTCCCTTATGTGATGTCACTTTGTCAATGGTAGTGAGCATAAGAGGGTGTCCTGTAGACCAGTGGTCCCCAACCTTTTTGACACTACGGACTGGTTGGGGGAGGATGGGGTCTGTGTGCAGGGAAGGTGGGGCACTCCCCACGTTTGTGTGGTGCACTTGCGTGTGCATGCACAAAGGGCACTCGCGTGGGTGGTCGAACTCACATGCGCAAAGGGACGGTGCACTCAGGCACGCACACACACTTGCACACATGCACAGAGATACAAGGGCGCTCGGGGGGCATGCACATGCGTGATGGGGCTATGGGGGGAGTGCGTGCAGGGTGGGTGTCCCTGGCCCAGGCCACGGAATGGCACCTGGCCATGGAGCAGATGTTGGAAACCCCTGCTGTATGAGAGGGTGCTGATAAGTACTGAGCCTTTCCCAGAAAAAATTGAGCTAGGAAGCTGTAATTGCCACCCTATTCTACATATTCCCCCAGGAAATCAGTGCACTTGCAACATCTGTCCTGCAACTTCTTAAGTCCCTGCAAATAAAATTCTTCCTACTGCTGGTGTAACCACTCATTTGCAGCATTAGTTACCTCCAGAACATTCCCAAATCATTGTCCCTTTAGGCGTTTTTTGAGTTTGAGGAACCGATAATAGTATGAAGAAGCCAGGTCGGGAGAATAGGGTGGATGGGGCATCACTTGAAAGCCTAAGGACGTCAGTTTTGCCATTGTTTCACCTGTAGTGTGTGACAAGGCGTTGTCATGCAACAGGATGACCCCTTTGGAGAGCTTTCCTCGACTTTTTCCTTGATGTTTTGCCTCAACTTCGTCAATAAAGCACAGTAATATTTTGCATTGATGGTTGAACCCTGTTGGAGGGAGTCCACCATCAGAACTCTCTTCTTATCCCCCCCCCCAAAAAAAAACTGTTGCCATTTGCTTCTGCACTGACCTTTGCACTCGGAACTTCTTTGGCCAGGATAACCTCCATTCCTTAGACTGTTCCTTTTTCTCAGGATCATAACAGCAGATCCATGTCTCATCACCAGTTACCAGTTTACCCAGGAAATCTGTCTCATTTCTGCAAAAAGTTCCAAAACAGCCATCGATGGCTCCACACATTTCCTCTTTTGTTCGGTTGTCAAAAGTTTGGGGATCCACTTTGCTGCCAGCTTTCTCGTTTCCAAGTCATTGTGGATAATGGCACCAACTCTCTCACATGATATTCTCAGATACATAGTAGTACTTTTGGCTGATATTGGGCGGTCCTCCATGATCATATCATGGATGGCTTTCACATTTGCAGGCACAGAGATAGAAACAGGCCTTCCACTGGGTTTCTCACTTTCAACACCGAAATGGCCAGTTTTAAAATTGACAACCCAACGTTTAACTGTTGCATATGAAGGGCCACTGTCACCCATAGTTTGTGACATTTCATCATGGATCTGCTTTGCACCTTTCCCTTGGAGAAACAGGAACTTGATTATGGTCCTATGCTCTTCCACGTTGAATTTTTCTGGAGGTGCCACCATGTTCATTTTGGACCTGAATATGAAAGATAAGTTAAAATCATAGGTACAGTGGGGTCTCTGCTTAAGAACATCCCTACTTAAGAACAATCCAACTTAAGAACAGCTCCATTTGCTAAATTTTGCTTCTACTTGAGAACAGAAATCCAAGATAAGAACAGGAAAAAAAAACCTTTCCTGCTCTTTTTTAACCTTAGGTCATCTTAGGTTAAAAAAAAATTTCCCCCTAGTGGTAGAGTACGTATTAACCAGCTTTGCATTAGTTCCTATGGGAACTAATGCTTCAATGTATGAACGCACCTCTACATAACAAAAAAAACAGCCAGAACGGATTAATTGGTTTTCAGTCCATTCCTATGGGAAATTTTGCTTCAACTTAAGAATGTTTCAACTTAAGAACACCATTCCAAAACGGATTAAGTTCTTAAATAGAGGTTCCACTGTAGTTTCTATGGACGGAAAAGAGCAGATACGGATTAAATGGTTTTCAATGCATTCCTATGGGAAATGCAGATTCAACAAAAGAACTTTTCAACTTGAGAACCACCTTCCAATACGGATTAAGTTCTTAAGTAGAGACCCCACTGTAGTTGATTTTTGTACCATTGAATACAGACAAATTGGCCTGCAATTTATATCTTCCTAGCTCAATTTTTTTCTGGGAAAGACTCAATACTTACCAGCACCCCCTCGTAGACCATCTTGACTGCTGCTATTGTCAGCATTCAGGCTGCCCTTTGCTATGTAAAGCTTGGCATTCCTTTTGCAGCTGACAATGTGGGTACGACATTACATAGCAATACTGGGTCATTTCTTGGCTTTTTGAATTGTTGGTATAGAAGCACAGGTATCCCACATTCATAAAGTGGAGATTATTTTGAAGAAAAAGATCTGATTTAGAGATGGAGTAGCAGCATAGTCATAATGCTTTATTCATATAAAGAGAGGTGGTCATCAGGTGTGTTTCGTCCAAAGATACATATAGCTATAAAAGTAAAAAGCAGCCTCAAGTTGGGGCTGGAAGCTTGCTGATGCAAAACAGGGTGAGTATTCAGTCTGTACTGAAGGTTCTAATTATGGAAAAGAGAGAACAATGATTTTATTACTCTAAATTCCTATTCTTCATCATGAAAGCTTTTCCATTAAGTAGTCTGGTCTGGAAAGTTTGGCATCTATCCTTTCCTAGACAAGGTGCTATTACAGATGTAGAGGCTGAAATCCTGTAGTAAATTACTATATATTAAGCCAGATGAATCAAGGGAACTCACAGAGTTGTTGTCACACAAAATCTCTACTGATTCAGAGAGCCTACTCTATTTGCAGCTTATTACTCATTTTCAGCCATTATATGCTATAATGGAAGGTTGAAACAGTTACAAAGATAAAGTTTGTTCTCTAGGCTGGCTGAAGAAAAGCAGCTCAAAATGCCTTTGTCTCAACCAGTCAAGCAAACAGAAGTGATAGCAGACTTTTTGTAAGTCTTTTTACATGTCTGTCGGCCTGCATCTTGTTTAATGGGCCATAAGTTGTAACAGTGGTGCTTTGCAAGACAAAAATAATTCGTTCCGTGAGTCATGTCGTCTTGCGAAATTTTCATCTCGCAAGGTGCAGTTTCCCATAGGAATGCACTGAAACTTAATTAATGTGTTCCTACGGGCCAAAAAAAGTCTGGAAAAGTCACTTACCAGGTAAGAAGCTGGGGAAGCACCATCGGAAGACTGGTGGGGGTCCCCCCCACATGGCTATCGCTGCTTTCAGAGGTTCCCCCACCAGTCACCGATGGTGCTGGGCAAGCCTCCGAATGGAAAAAGGCAGCGGAAAAGGGTGGAAAATTCAAAAATGGTGTTGGGCAAGCCCCGGGAGGGCTCTGAAAGTGGTGCTAGCCACGTGAGGGGACCCCTGCCAGTCTTCCGATGGTGCTTCCCCAGCTCCCTACCTGGTAAGTGACTTTTTCAGACTTTTTTTGGCCCATATGAACGTATTGATTAAATTTCTATGCATTCCTATGGGAAACCGCGCTGCACAAGATGAAAATATCTTCGTATTGCGAGTCACATAAAAACTCGCAAGACGCTTTCATCTTGCGAGTTTTTCTTTGCGCGGGGCATTCATCTTGCGAGGTACCACTGTACAGGTTTATTGTGGAGGTACCAAGCCAGTAACAGAAAAGAGCAAGACTGTAAATGTACTATCACTATGGAATCTTTAATACATTTCATCTGTTTCCTTAAGAAATAGTACATATATTTACATTCAGTTAAAATTTGAGTTATGATTTTAGTACTTTGAAATCTGAATGATATCTTTAAACTGTATGTTTAACATTTTTAATAGTTTCTCTTACGAAGACAGTTTAAATGTATTGTGAGGTTTTTCCTCACTTCTTTGTCTAGATTATTTATTTAGATTTCTCTGTTTCTTTCAAAATGGTTGTGTCTAAGTACGTTTGGCTTTAGAGGCCTGATCTGGTTTCCTGTGGTAAGAACAATTGGGGCAGCATTAAAAAAGACTTTCTGTCAGAAATTGTGTTTTACAAAATATCCTGATGCAGTTCACATTTCATTGTTACTGAAAACAATACTGAGATGCCGAATTGCTCTGTACTTACTCTTCAAGCACGTTTTAGCAGCAGATAAAATAGATAGCAATGGACAGGTGGAATTTGATTATAGAATATCGAATTTATTATGGATTAGTAGAATTTCAGCTTATATTACTGGTGGATATGCAAGGTGCAAATATTTCTACTCTCTGTTATTTTTGTTCATTTTTTCCCCACAGTCCTTCCTTACAGTTTGAAGCTGCATGGGCCCTGACTAACATAGCATCAGGCACCTCTGTACAGACTCAAGCTGTTGTACAGTCAAGTACGTGTTTGGGAATGAATGTCTCTTTGGTTGAAGATGAACATATACCTTCTTTTTTGGGTGATGTATTAGTATTTTTAAAAGGGGATCTTTTTAGAGGTTGTTACACAGAGGATGTTAGTTTATAAGCATCTTCCAGGTAAGTAGCTTTGAGATCTTGTTTTCATGCCATTTTCATAAGGTGGGAGAAAATGTGTGACATGAGGCTCTCGGTTGCCTGCCACTTGGGTGAAGGAAACAGTTTCCTTAGATGGAGGAGCAGAGAGGAGATGAAAGAATTGACTGGTGATGTGGAGCAGGCTGTGGGCAGCAAAGAGAGAGGAGGCAGACTGGAAGCTGAAAAAGAAGAAGCAGATAATTTGACATGTGGAGACTTGGATTACTCTGTAATCCTGTCAGTAGTTCTGATAATTCTTCAAATGCTGTTACATCAGAATTTGTGCATTGTTTGCATCAGAAGGCGGTGGACAGTGATGCTGGATAATAGAAGTTGGTTAGTTGTGTGAGACTGTGTGGGAAAAATTGATTTATTGATGGTATGGCAGTGACCTTGTGGACAGCACTCATGGACAACACCATGTTCTCTTACTAGATCCACAGATGGTCTTCATTTCGGCCTGTAGTTCCCTTGGAGGGCCAGGCATGACATGGATGACTTAATTTCTTTCCTTTTTTATTCTTAATTTTATTTTATGTCTATTTGAGTGTATGTTCAGATGATTATTGAGGAGCTTTTGAATGAGTTTATCATTATTTAATCTTGAGTTGCTCAGTTTTGTTTTGTTTTTAAGATAGCCTTATTATTGTTCAGGATTATTATTTACTTGCTTATATATTTCTGCTAGGGACTTTTTTTCTGTAGATTTATTTTGTAGCAACTCTTGTGTATGTTTTGTTTTGTTTCTGTTTTTTTCCCCTCCCTTTTAGAGGCATCAGTGGTGGGAGGGAGATAAAGTAGTTTGGATGATGGACCATAAATACATCTTGGTAGTGTTGGGTAGGGGAAGTATGCAGTGGGTGGAATGGCTTACCATTACAGGAGAGCGTGGACTAGATAATTGATAACTATTCCAAGCTCTTGCTATCATGCGCCCGAGTGAAGTAACCAGCTCAACTAGCCCTCCAGCCTGCCCTTCCTGCTGTTGAATGCCAGATTGGTTCAAAATAAACATCATTTGATTCATGATCTTAAGTATGGATAGCCAACCTGGCTTGCATAACTGAGACCTGGGACCTCAGTACAGAGGGAGAGATAGCCTTCTCTCAGATGTGCCTGTCTGAGTATTCTATCCAGCATCTTCAGGACCCCCTCATCCATGCAAGGGTGAACCTGGCTGATAAACCTCACTTAGTTGAAGGCTGACCTAGACACAGCTGCAGTCTGGACATTTGACTACTGTAATGCTGTCTACATGGGACCTCCCCTGAGGCTGACCCTGAAACATCAGGAAGTACAGAACATGATTGTCAGGCTGATGTCAAAAGTGAGCAAATATGACCATATTTCCCCAGTCCTGGCTTGCCTGTACTAGTTACCTCTGAGGTTCTGGGCCAGGTTCAAGGCTCTGGTTCTTAGCTATAAAGTCATTTCCAGTTTGGGCTCTTGTTACTTGTTGGAGTGCCTTTCCCCAAGAACATCCACTTGGACCACCACATCTTTCCAGGCAGTGCTCCTAAGGGTTGCCACACTGAAGGAGACCAGAAATCGTGTCTTCTTGATTGTGACACCAGCCCTTTTGAATGGGCTCTTGGTTGAGCTGCGCCAGGCCCCCTCCCTCTCAGCCTTTCGGAAGTTGCTTAAGACAGAGCTCTTTAGAAAAGCTTTTACTGTACTAGCAACCCCTAATGAAGCCATCAAATCTGCTCTACTGTTTGACTGTTCCTGCTGCCCTTGGTGTACTGTTCATGCTCTTTTATTGATTTTGCTGTTCTTTTTATTATTATTATTATTATTATTATTATTATTATTATTATTATTATTATTATTATTATTATTATTATTATTATTACTTCTCTTACTGTCTTATGAGTGCATTTGTTTTATTGTTACCAACTGCCTGGAGTAGTGCCTCACATTACTCAGGTGGTATAAAAGTGGAATGAATGAATGAATGAATGAATGAATGAATGAATGAATGAATGAATATTTCCTAAAGGTCAGAACGAGTAGATTTTGGATATTCCTTGTAGTAGTAGCCATGTCTAGGTATGCAAGCAGAGTGTCAGTTTACATTTAACATATGCAGTGGTGGAACAAATTAGGAAATAGAAGTTTTAGGATGGAAACAATTTGGGTCTTTGCATGATGAATCCTTCATTGTTTTCTCACTAGCATATAAGTGGGTGAGAAATAGCGTATTTCAGTACCATTAATACCATTCTGTCTATTGATTAATCTGTGCCTGTAGCTAGAAGGAATATATTGACCTTGATAAAGGCCAGTACAAAGTTCAGTAAGCCAGAGGTTCTGTTAGTTGCTAGTCATTTACCTCTGTAAGTGATATTCAACCTGAGGATGGGACTGTCACAGTGTTTGGGAATTTTGCAGCATCATGACAAAATGACTACTCCCATTTAAATATGATTTTAAACATGCTTAGGTCTCAAATCTGTCAGGGAATTGTTCCAGAACTGAGTGTGTCAGCGACAGTTTCCTGATGGCTGTGGTTATAACACTTGATATTGCCTTACTAAACAGCTTGATTTGGCGGGTTGCAACTTATCATTTTCACCACTGCTCCCAAAGTGAGTCTGATTTAAGAAGGGAGACTGTGGACTTTTGCTTAGTCCCTGTCCTTCACTTCCTTCTTGCACTTAGACTATTTCAAAGAGAGAAATGACTACTGGTGGGGAGGGACTGTTCTGTTTAAAGCAGGGGTGGAGCATCCTTGATGGGTCCAGAGCCATTTTCCCATCTCCCACATCTTGACAGGTCACACTCTTGAATCTTCACCTCAAATGTGTTACCCAAAAACTAGCAAACTTTATTTCCAGAAATCTCAAGGGTTTTTGTCATTTAATTCTTATTACTCTCTGAGGCCTGCTTTAACTTTGAAAACACAGGAGACAGTTATTTGAAGTTTTGATTTTTCTTTTTCTTCCTTTCTGGGGTTTTTTTTTTTTTAAATAGCTGTATGGGGCTTGAAACAGACCTAGGAGGGTAAATTTTAAATGCCAAATCAGTTCCTTAGCTTCTGGTGGCACTAAATTGTCTTTTCTTGATGAACTGGGGAAGGGGGAGTCGAAGTACTTGGAAGTGCTCCGGGGGTCTGTGGGTTGCATATGGACATCATTTTGTCCACATGGCCTTTTTCTTTGCCAGGTTAATTGATGTTGCAATTGTGAGGAAAGTGAGCAGTGTCCATGTGCAATGGCCAGCCCAGTATCACATGTAGCCCTTTGGTATGGGAAGGTTTCCCCGGACCTGCCCTAGGTGGTGAATTAAGTCTGCATCTTATTTAAATTTTCATTTCAGAATATAAATTTCAATACCCCTTTCCTTCTTACTCCCCCTTGAAAAAGTCATTATCCAAAAAACATGTCTTATCTAATTTCCATTAGCATGAAAGATGTTTCCTGAAATCTTAACTAACAGTTATGGTGATCCATATTTTCTGTGAAGTGATAATATGCAACACTTTTTAATGGAAGTCATGTTTCACTGAAGTGTTCTGCTTTTACAGATGCAGTACCACTCTTCTTAAGACTTCTCCATTCACCACATCAAAATGTATGTGAACAAGCTGTTTGGGCTCTTGGAAATATTATTGGTGAGTCTCAATTATATTTCAAGAAAACATTTCATAGGCATTAACAATTTTGAAATATAATCTAATCTTGTACATTGGCATCACCTTATGAGACTATGTTTCTTCCATGTTCTCTTATTGGTACAATAAATGTAAACAGGAAAACATCTTTATTTTGGAGAACTTGTTGGATATAGGAAAAATTGTTCTTCTCAAATTTTCATTGGAACAAATATTTTTTATGGAATTCACTGGCTACTAATGGGGAAACATAGACCATTCACATCCAAACACATCACTGCATACATTTCAGGGTTTCTCCATCATGAATGTAATTTTTTTTTAAAATTTTCACTTCTGTAGGTGATGGTCCTCAGTGTAGAGATTATGTCATATCACTGGGAGTTGTCAAACCTCTTCTATCCTTCATCAATCCCTCCATTCCCATCACTTTCCTCCGGAACGTCACATGGGTCATTGTAAATCTCTGCAGGAATAAGGATCCCCCACCACCTATGGAGACAGTTCAGGAGGTAAATAAAGAATTGCAATTAAGTACTGTTATACCTCAGCTTCATTGAAAGTCAGTAGTCCCATAAAGGCGAATACACTGTACATTTTCTTAATGCATATTTATGATTTGTTTTAGTTACTAGGTATTAATTATACCAATATTTGAGGAATCTCTCTGCCTTTTCTGACTGTGAAGTCAAAATCTAATTATACTAGCTAAGGCAATACAAGCCAAGACGACTTGTATTGGTCAGAGGAATGTTCCATGTTTTGAGGTGATTGCCTTGATTTTATATGTTAGTATTATTAATGTACAGAATCCAAGTCTGTTTGTGTATAACCAGTACACTAGGTTTGGCCCTAAAATCAAACGTATTATCTAAAATGGCTTAGCAGCATATATTGCTTTTGAAGTCACACTGTTTTAAGTAGTTATTATGATATTTTGCGGTCAAACTAATATTAGGCCTTATACTTTAGACTAGAGCAATACAAAACTTGGCATACACACAGTGTAAAATTGTTGTAGCTGGAGAACATTAGATGACACATAATTTCTAGCCTTCTGAAATACTGAGAAAATTAAGTTTTTAAAATTCAAAATTGCTGAATTTCAAAATTCAAACATTGGTACCTCTGAGTTAGACTGGAATATCTTTGCCATTTTGTTATTAGAACTACAGTGAAAGGTTTGGACTTACAGAAATTGCATCTTATTTTACCTTAGATTCAGAGTAAGAACTAGAGATGGGCATGAACTGGAAAACTGGTGGTTCATGATGGTTTTTGATTTGTGGTTAGCCGCGAACCCCCAGAAAAACAAACTGATTTGTGGTTCAATTTTCCAGTTCATGCCTGGCAGGGAGCTCTACCTGCTGCTGCTGCTGCCTCCACCTCCACTGCCATGTGAGGTAGCAGCTGAGGATGGCACTTGCAGCAGTGGCAGCAGGAGGAGGTAGGCAGCAGTTATGGGGGCACTGAGAAGGGGGCAGGCAGGCATCCCCTTTTGGCTGAAGCAAATGAAACACCAAAGGGAAAAAAAAGTTTTCCATTTCATTTTGCTTGGGCAAAACAGGATCCCTGAACTGGGTCATGAACCAGCCTGGTTCATCAGGTTTTTTGGTTCACAATTCATTTCATGCCCATCTGTAATAGGAATATTTTACCTACTTCCTCTCTTAAGAAATGGGCTTGGAACGGAACACATAAATTCACTCTTCTCCCCTGCCTCTGAAATTAGCACCTGGATGCTGGTAGAGAATTCAGAACTCTCCATCAGGAACAACTGAAACTTTAGAGCAGTGGGTCCCAACCTTTTTGACACCAGGGACTGGTTTAGTTCAAGAACATTCTCTCAAGGACTGGGGGGTGGCAGTGGCGGGCATCCATGCATGCAGGGGGCATTTGTGCGGGCATGTGGGAGGCCAGCTGGGGGGGCGTGCGTGCATGTGAGATGCAGGCGGGAGTCCATGCGTGTGGGAGGCATGCAGGAGTGTGTGCGTGCACGCATGTGCATGTTCCCTCAGCCCTCAAAAATCTGTCTCAGTGGCCCAGTCCTTCCAAGACCACAGACTGGGATCAGTCTGTGGCCCAGGGGTTGGGGACCCCTGCTTTAGAGAACACATCATACTCTATGGAGGTGTGTTGCCACGGCACTCAAATTATTCTGCGTAGAATCCATACATTTTTCTTTAAATTTCAACTGCAGAAGTCATTCCTGTCTTCCAGCAGCATTATGGGTTCTCTGCCACAATTGTTGAAGAGGAAGGTTAATGTCCAAATATTCTGCTCATGATAAAATCAAGACTGACTGGTCCCAGCTTCATAAAATCTTGCACAGTCTTGTAAGATAAGAGTTATAACTCACATTTTTTAACATTCAGCCAAGAAATGACTGAGATGTAGCATTTAAAATTATCTTTTAAAGTGCAGTTTACACTAGTTTGTGTCTGTTTTCTGCACATCTATAATGTATTCCTCAGTGTTTCTATTTTAGGTTCTCTCAAGCTTTTTGAAAACAAATAGCTATTCAACCTCTATAAAATAGCCATGGAATTCTTCTTTTTATCATTATTGTATTTTCATTAGAAGTATTGAATATGCAAATATAATGGCAGATATAAAATTTTGTGGGAATTAGAAGTAGCTGTTCTAACGAAATGGTTCTCAACTTTATGCCCTCCAGCTGATTTGGACTTCAGCTCTCAGAATCTCTGACTATTGGCCATGCTGGCTAGAGCTTCTGGGAATTGTGTCCCAAAACATCTGGAAGGTCAAAGGTAAGAACCACTGTTTAAGCTAATATCAAATTACATTTCTGTATTTTTTAGTATGTTTAGAGTTCAACTTACTAAATGTTGCGGAATGTTAATTTTTATTTGGACGTAGCTTTCTTTTTGGCTGGGTTTTTCCCTAGCCATCTATTAACTCAGTCAGTGCCTCCTTAAGGTGGGCAGGTTTGGCATTCAAAATATTTTCAAATTGCAGCCCCCAGTGTTTCTCGCCACTGTCTGGGCTGATTACAGATGATGGTAGGTGCATCCAGCTACATCCAGAGTGCCACAGTAGCTGTCCCTGGTATGGGGGGGAGGGGTTATTCTTCTTTCACTTCCTCATTCTGGTCTTTCTGTATGGCTTCCTACTGTTCCATCTCTGTACTTGGTCCCTGACTAGCCTCAGGGACTTCAGTTTTCATGGCTTAAATGCTACCTGTATGCTGACGATACACAGCTGAACCTCTGTGCTCTGTATCATTGGTGTTCCATCAAATCCTCAATCTTTGACAGCCTTGTTGAAATTTTTGCTTCATTGTTGTCTTATGCTCAGTATATTCAAATCAAGGCCAAATTGCCCATCTTTCTTCCCTAGCCCTCGACTCCTCACTCATTCTTCTTATCCATTGACAGTAGTTCTCTGTCCCTTCAATAAAATACATTTCAGAGAAGCTTTCTCTTGGTCCTGTCACCTTTACAGGTACAGTTGATGGGGACCCAAGAGATGGCATTCTTGGTGACTGCTCCCAGGTTATGGAATACTCTCCTGCCATGATGCTAGTTGATCCCTGCTATACTGTACTTTTGGAACAAGTGGAGACATTTTTTCCAGATAGGCTTTTAATATCTAATTTCAACATAGTTATATACCCTATGGTTGCTGCTTTTATATCATTTTAACATATTTTAAGAGTTTTTATGTCTTCTAACCATTTAAATGTTATCTGGTCAGTTGATTTTTAATGATTAAAGTATTTTGTTGTAATAGCTGTTTGTCTAATTAATTATGTGTGAGCAGCCTTGAGTTTTTTCTCCAGGAGAAAGACTGCCTTTAAAAAATTGCCCCCCATGCCCTGATTATTTCTTGCCATGAGTACCGCATCCTACTCTCTGAGTTTCTGTCATCTTAGTCTCATCAGTTCACATCCATCCATCATTCTGCTGCCAAATTTATTCACCTTTCTCTGTTTCTCTATTCCTCAAATCCTTTTCCTGGATTTTTGTCCACATGGGAGCCTTGGGATCTTTCCTCTGGAATCTTTGGCTGCCTTGCCTCACCTTCCTATGAGTTTTACTCATCCACCTCCCCTACCCTTGGCTGTGGAAGGAACTTTTGCTCCCTGATACAGTACTGCCCATTTTCTCTTTTTCCTTGGAACTGCCTCCCAAAACACCTATGTGCGACCACCTGGCTATCTTCCTTTTAGTCTCTCCTTAAAATCCACATTTTCTGGGAAGTTTGTACTATCTTTCTTTTTAGCTATAAAGTTTCAAATTAGAGATCATTGGCAGCCACATTCCAGCAACAGATAGGACTGTGGGTAAAAGACAAGACCATGAGAAATGTATGTGGAACCACATATAATGCTTACAGATTTTGAGATTTCTTCACCAGCTGTACAAAGCATAGCTGATTTATATATGTTTTAACTAACAAGGAAGCTCTAGTGCAGCAGCTTTCTTGTCTACAGTGCTTAGTGCAGGTTTTTTTAAAGTGTAAATATTACTCTATTTAATTGGGGTAAGAGTAAAGGAAACTTAAGAACATGGCCCATGTGCTGGAGATTTCCCATTCCTGCCCTAATTCCTGTACAGTACTTACACTTACTAACCCATAGTATGTGTAATGCAAATAATCACATCTTCATCCCCTATCTACCCATACCTTCATTTTTTCCTTTCTCTGTTGCTTGCCTATATCTGTTCAGGTCGCAAGCCTATTGGTTCCAGATACATGTTCCTTGTCAAGTGCCATATACATAGATGGAGCTATATAAATAAATGATAACCTGTTTCTCCAAAAATAAGACAGGGTCTTATATTAATTTTTGCTCCAAAAATGCACTAGGGCTTATTTTCAGGGGATGTTTTATTTTTTTTCATGTACAACAATCTACATTTATTCAAACACAGTCATATCATCTTCTTCTGGTTGCTGCACAATGGTGGAGAGTGGGGTTTCACTTAACTAGGGTTTATTTTGGCGGTAGGGCTTATGTTACGAGCATCCTGAAAAATCATACTAGGGCTTATTTTCAGGTTAGGTCTTATGTTTGGGAAAACAGGGTAGATGTAATGGTTTGAGGAACTATACTGGATTTTTAAATTGCCATTTTCTCAGTGTGGTCCCAGCAGAGGATAAAAGTTGACTTAGCCATCTCTTGGGCTAATACATTTTGCCATTTTCAACTTAATTAGTAAATGTGAATATTCAAGCTTAAATATTTGATGAAATCTTATGTAAAAGAGTCCTTTTAAGGTAAAATGGTTGTGAATTGATTCTGTGTGCTCAGAGAACTGAAGCTAAATTTTAGAAAGCTATGTACCATGCAAGATGTCTGCTGGTTAAAAACCATCTAGAAGTACGAGTAAATTAATCTTTCTATGCCCGAGTTTTCCTTGAGAGTGTTTTTCAGTATGTGTTTTTCCCCCTAACATTAATGGACTGTTGTAATTATTTTTTTTACCAGATTTTACCAGCCTTGTGTGTTCTCATATACCATACAGATATAAATGTAAGTAAATGTTGAAGTTGTTTTTTCTTGATTTCAGGGTTCATCTTTGAAAAGTTTTACTACTTTAATTTTGCCTAAATTGTTACATAAAAATTCCTTGTCCAAAAAACCATCATGATTTGCTCTTTCTTTTCTTTCTATGTTTTCTTTCTATTTTGCAAACAATAAAAATAAAAATAGGAGTTGGCTATACTTAATAAAAGAGTGAAAGATAATGTGTGCCGCTCTTCAGTACAGCTGCACAGCTGAGCCCTAGAACATGAAAGCTTGCATGTATACTGTGATATGTGCATCTTGGGGGATTATTAATTAATTAATTAATTGAGAGAGAGAGAGAGAGAACGCCCATTTTAGTCAGTAGGTGGAGAGTGACTGAAGGACAAGACTGAATTGGGGAAGAGAAAAACCAGTGAGGAGGAAAAAGATATGTTGATGACTAGGGTGGTTGGGAGTAGCATAAAATTGGTACAATTGCTTTAAAAAATTACTATGTGATCTAGATTTTAGTTCTTTGCACACTTAGCCTAGAATTCAGTTGTACTGAATGTGTTGAGGTTTATTTGAAAGAAGATATATAGTAATGCATTATGATTAGTACTTTGTGGAAAATATTTTATTTAAATAGTGTAAAGCATGTTCTGAATAACATACATAGAACCTGTTTTTCTCCCAAGTAATCTAGTCAAAAAGAGCCATTCTTTTGTGGGTCTTATCCATTAATTTGTTCATATTAGTAGTGTAATACCTTCGTTGCTCATTATTGGCTTGTTGCTCACCTGCACCATTTACCCCACTGCTAATTATCTATAACAAGTTATTTCTTCTCTGTGATTCCTGTGACTCTTACAAGTTAGTTTCTGTCCTTGCATAGAAACCTGTTCCAGAACGTTCCTAGCCAAACACTTTGGGTGGGAGTTTTAGTCATGACTCTACTGGCATAAATTTTATTCCCCTCAATTCTTCTTTGCCAGTGACTTCATTTTGGACATACGGTAGCTTATTATTTTTTCTCAAAAATCATTCCAATTTATTATTAATTTTATTTTCTCTTCTTTTTAAAAAGGGGAGTGTGATAAATTTGGTTAGGAAAGCTAGAAAGTGATTTACTGATGGAATATGTGGTTATGAAGTTAGCCTAAAAGAATCCATTTTGGTCTCTGTGTGCTTGAAAGTGGAAAATTCCAAAAGCCAGTTTCTCTTCACAGCTTTGCTTTACAGAAAGTGGTCAGGCTGACCTGTTATCTCGTTACCTAGTAACGGTGGCCTGATACAGGGAGAGCGAAGTCATAACATTCCAGGAGCTTTGGATCATAACAACTTGAGTTCTCATGAGAAGAGGGGGTGCGACAAGTTACTTTTTTCCTTACCCCTGATTGGTTGTTAGCAGTGAAGAAGAAGAGGGGAGTAAGTTGCAGAAGGGGGAGAGTAAGTGAACATGGATGCCGGTTGAAAGACACAGAAAGGACTTATTTCTGTTTGATGGATTTTAGCAGAGGATTTTCCTTATGGGACTGATGGAACTTGGATTTTCCAGAAGTTTGGTATGTTCCTGATTGGACTATGGACAATGGGATTTACAGTATTATTTTAAGATGTAGATTTTTACTGAAATAGAGGGGGAGCTTGCCTTTCCCAATTTTATTAGTTAGAACGTTTGTTATGTTTGTTTGTTTTTAGAGGACTCCAGTTTCTTACTTAACTGGAGCAGATGGAAATGTATATAGATGCCTTGCTTTGCATAAACGTTATTCTTTCAGAACTTTATTTTTCTAATAAAACAAAATATGCTTAATATCTGGATTTTGGCTTCTTGAATAGAACACATGCTACAATTGGTTATTTGGTTTACCTAAATTGTTATTCTTTACAAGGCCATGGAAAAGTAACGCTACCGTGGGTCCAGAATATTCCTGGGTACTAGAAGAATTAGATTCCCTAGAACTCACGTGTATATCTTGGTTCTCAAAGAAATCGGGTCAGACTTGGTGCATGAGTGAAAGGACTGCCCTAGGGTAAAATTGTTGGACCCGGTTTTGCCTGTTAAAAGGAGTCATTCACTCAAGAATCCTCTCTGTCCCGTGTCAAAACAGTTTCTTAGGAAACTGGCTTTGCTGGCAGGGAGAACCACAATTTGCCCACTTTTTGCCAAGGTCTCCTTGGCCTTGTTGAAAAAATGTACCAATTGTGAAAGGAAGGTCACTTGAACTGACAGTGATTCTCAATGCCCTTTTTTTTTCTTTGTGAGGGCCATTTGTCCCAGGCTGGCACTATCTGCTGCTGCTTTACCAAACAGGTACTAAAGCTTAGACAGTCCAGACTTCATTCCTATTTGTAAGAAAAGTCTCTTGAAGTAGCAGGTCTTGGGCCCTGGAGACATGTCCCCCGCTGGTTTTAATCTCGATATTGGCTCTCTACCCTCATACCTTGAAATTCTGTCAGTTTTGAAGAAATGCCCAAAACTAAACCAAACTCGACTTTGATGTCGTCTCATGACTCCTTTGTTTTGATCTCTCACTCTCTGACACTAGGGCAAGGATAGTGGATCCAAGAACCAAACACACACCACTCCTACAGATAAAGAAGGCTTAACGGTCTCAGCAGGTGGTTGTATTCCTCTGCACTCTCCATATTTCAAACTCTGTGGCATATATGGCAGTGTATCAGCAGGTACAGCCCCCGTATTTGATCAGAGGATCAGAGAGGACTGGCAGCAGTGCTCAGTGCAAAAACACCTACCTTACTGACCAGCAAATTAATACTGTAAGACATGTAGCAGTCTCCATGGTTCAGATCCTTGGAGATATGTTGGCCTTGTTCTGCTTGGGTAACAGTCTGTACTCCATATTATTTTACCCAGGCCGTTACCTGGAGAGGACACGCCAGCTTCACATACAGCAGACCTGAGCAAAATACAGTCCGCGGGCCACATACAGCCCGCGAGCCACTCCTGTCCGGCCAGCCCGTCGCTGCTGAGTGAGCCGGAGCTCCAGCTCAAAACGGCAGTAGAGGACCCATCCCGGCCAGGCAGCAGTGGCAGAGCCCGAGCCAAGCATAAGCGCACATAGTCCCCTCTTGCATGCTCTGGGCAGTGCACCGTTTCACCTCCCACTTCGCCCCACCTCCTGTAGTCCAAGGTGAGCCGCTGCACAGCTGCTGGCCAGGGTGGGGGCGCAAGGAACCCTGGGAATTGTAGTCCGAAGCCTGCTGTTCCTCTTACTCCTCCAAGCAACAGAAGGCATCAGCGCCCCCGGAGGGCCCGTGATCTCCCTCATCTTCTCCTCTTATCAGTCCCCTCAGGCTCTTTTTATCAGCCGCTTCACTGCGACCAAGGGAGGGCCTCCCCCCCCGCTGCAAGACCACAACTCCCTCTAAGCTCACCAGCCTTCGGAGCGCCACATACGCTTTTCACCCCTCCTCCCCTTCTGCAAGGCCCTCTGGGGCTTGTAGTCTTACCCTGGTATTCACGACGGCACCGGCGCTTTTTCCTCCAAGTCCGCTGCTTGCCTTTGGATGAGCTGCTACGCTATGGAAGTGGCGTAAGGGGCCAGTTCCTGGACTCCCTGAGGAGAGTGAGAGAGGGTGTGTGTGTGTTTGTGTGTGTGTGTGTGAGAGAGAGAGAGAAAGACAGAGAGAGAGAGGTGAGTGCGTGTGGCGGCGGTGGTTCTGCTTGGGGTTGGTGAGTGCATGTGGCGGCGGTGGTTCTGCTTGGGGTTGAGGAGGAGGTTAATAAAATAAATATTTTTTTAAAAAAAAAGGAAGGAGAAAGAGAGAGGGAAAGGAAACCGTTTCCTGAGGAGCTGGGCAGGGTGGGAGGCTGAAGGGTGGGGGTCAAAGTTACTCGGCCCCCCAGAGCGGTCTGTATGAGTGTGTGGGGCTGAGGGAAGAGAAGTACCGAGGCGGTGCTGAGGCATGAGACATACCTGTGTTTTGTTTTTGGATTTGTGGTTGTTGTTTTTTGTTTGATTGGGCTTTTTTCCAGTCCCAGCAAACATCACTGTTTCATTTTATTTTTAAGTAAAGTTGGTTCAGCCCATGAACATAGTTCAGATTTTTCATGTGGCCCCCTATAGAAATTAATTGCCCACCCCTGGCATACAGCGTCGAAACAACACGGGAAATAGCAGTTACCAGTTATAAGTCTTTGCTCGATTGGCGTAGAGCATGGGGCTACTTCCGATGGTGGGAGAGGTCATTGCACTTCACTAGGTAGCTACCGCCCGCCTTAAGCTGGGCAGCCTCCAGCCAGTAAGGTGCTGCCTCGCCACAGTCTGTTAACATCACGGGGTGCGTGGGGTTTAGGGTGAAAGCTGACAAGCAGATCGATAACCCTACCATGCAACAATCATAAGAAAGTTTCTGCCAAAAAGTTTGGCACCTGGAATGTTCAGATAATCACCCCTGGCTTTTCTGACGACCTGCAGGAAATAGATGACATGCGCAAGACAGCTGTTATCGACATGGAACTGAGTAGGCTGCAGATGGGCATTGTTACCATGCAAGAGACGAGATTGCCAGACTTGGGTTCTGTCAAAGAAAAAAACTTCTCATTCTTCTGGCAGGGAAAACCATTGAATGAGACCAAGGAATATGGTGTTGGTTTTGCAGTTAGAAATACTCTGCTGAGATCTATTGTTCCACCTACTGCGGGGAGTGAAAGAATCCTGTCTCTGCAGCTCCATTCATCAGCAGGACTGGTCACCCTTATTCGTGTATATGCACCAACACTGACATTTACAGCAGAATTCAAAGACAAATTCTATGACGATCTGGCAGCTACTATCAAAAAGGTCCCGGAGAGAGAGCCACTGTTCATTCTCGGAGACTTTAATGCTAGAGTTGGTGCTGATCACAATTCTTGGCCCACTTGTCTAGGCTGTTTTGGCATTGGGAAGATGGATGAAAATGGCCAACGCTTGCTGGAGTTTTGCTGTTATTATGGTCTTTGGGTCTGCAACACGTTCTTCAATACGAAGCTTCAACACAGAGTCTCTTGGAGACAT